TTATTATTGTTATTATTATTGTAACTTTAATTTGACAGGATGAGATTTCTCAGGGAAGAATTTGAAGCAAGATGTGATAAAATCCACCAATACCTCTGACACTTTAAGTTACAGGGAAATATAAGAAGTCCTGTATTTTTGCCACAAATTTTACTATAATACCTGTACTGCCTGGCCAAATAAAAAGTCACACACTAATATTTCATTGGACRGCCTTTAGCTTTGATTACAGCACACATTCATTGTGGCATTGTTTCGATAAGCTTCCTAGACCTGACCAACTGCAGCAACCCCAGATCATAGACTGCCCCCACAGGCCTGTACAGTGGGTGCATCCGCTAAGACCATGGGTCCCCACTATCCTTCCAGTTCTTAATAATACATCGGACAGTTCTTAACACAATTTTAGTAGTTTCTGCAATCTCCTTAGGTGCTTTCTCTGCTTGATGCCAATGARTTGACCCTTCTCAAACAGACTGACATCTTCTCCAAGACCAGTGTCTTTCAACATGGTTGTTTGAGAAATGAGAAGCAACTCATTGCACCAGTTGGGGGTTAAAAAACTTCATGCAATAATTATTCCATGGGCAATTATCTTACAGCTGCAACAATTATCCAATAGGAGGCTCGTACCTGTTTGCTTAGTTAAATCCATGTTGTGCTGTATTTTCTAAACTAGGCTCACTTTGCCTATAACTCATGCAGATTCAGTATAATTATGAAGAAATGCTCAACATTCTGCTGAGAGCAGAAACTTTAACGTGCGGCTCAGTAACATATGGTTTTATATTTTGATTTTAGTCAGCTTCATTAGCATGCAGTTGGGTAACAGAAATAAAAAGGTGCATCGGAGTAAAAACACTAACAACTAGTTCAAAAGCTACGGACCTTCTGCCAGAAGTTGATGTAGAAAATTTCGCTGGAGAAGTTGAAGTAGATGTTGGTGTCGTAGGCGTCGTCTCCAGCATTGGAGATGGTCACGTTTAAGGAGACGTTCCTCACTCCTCCGAGAGCCAAATGGGGTCGGATATATCGCCTGGATTGAACACAAATTAAACAATAAAAATATTTGCAAGCAAAAACTCGCATCTACAAGCCTTGAGTGGAAATGTGTTAAAATGGTTCAATTTTACAGGGGAAAATTTGCTCATGTTTAAAGTAAAACCCTGATTTTGTGCAGAAAATCTGCTTGTTAGCAGAAGAAAAAAAAAAACTAGAACGAGAAAGAGAAACACAATAAAAACTCCCAAACTCTGAAAAGACATATGGATAATCTCCAGGCGTGCGTCATGCTTCCACTGCCCACACCCACATGACCTATGATGTCAGTCTCTGAACTGGTGGAAAAGGCAGACCTCGAAGGATTCTTATTATTGAAGTTATTATTTTTACTTTTTGTTGTTTTTACCCAGAAAGCAGCAGTTTCCCGTGAAGCCTCAGGTCTGCAGCYCAGTCGTCTGACAGACAGTTCTTCTCAAACCAGGTCTGAGGAGGAAACAGGGCAGGACACGGTCAGGATGACCTCATGCTGTTCACTAAACACACACACTCTAAATTCAGACTAGGGGGCAGTGTTGGGCGGTTGTTGGAAATAACCAAAGATTTTTTTTTCATTCACAGAAAAACTTAAACTTCTTTTATTTAATTAGTTTGAGGATTTGAGGCTGAATAATGAAGGAAAACTTAGGTCAAGTAGTGATTAGTTTCTGTATAATGTAGGAAACTTAACTTTAGGTTTGTTTTTTTAACACAAAATCTGCACTGAAGAAACACATGTGGGGTTACAGGAGTGTCGGAGAGAAAATAAAGCAATCAGTCTTTTTGGATTCCACTCAAAGAGAATCAACACAGTTAATAATCAGCTGCTAACCAGACCAAATCATTACAAGTCCATTACATTTTTTTCTCTTCATTCTTTAAGGTCCTGTCACACTATAACAGTTTTAGACTTATGCTGACTTGTGAAAAGTTTGTTGCAACTATTTTACTCACATTGGCTCTATATTAAATATAATTGTTTGCATTACAGCATAGGTCCAAAAGAGGCTTTCAGTAGATTTGTTTTAAATTCCATCTTCAGGACATCTTTAGRGWTGGACAAACTTTTCATAAGTTGGCACAAGTTGTCTAAAATGTTATAGTGTGACAGGGCCTTCATGTAGTTTGTGGAATAAAAAAAGGCTTAAAGATTATCAGGTGTGGGCCTATGGGGCGCCAAGTGAAAAATGAAAGGTTAAAAAAATTCACTAACAAATTTTTTTATTATTTAGCTCACTTTATGAGTGTTAAATTCCCCCCTAACATTTTATTGTTATTTAGATTTAGTTCATTTTTACTAAATGTTAAATTTAAATGTCAAAAAGTTTATTTAAATATTAAATCCTAAATCTAAATGTTTAAATCTAAATTTAAAAGTTTAAAAGCTTAACCTTAAATGTTAAAGTTCACATTTAGGTATTTTGGAATGGAACGCAGCCTTTGCTGTTGGTGCTTGGCTCATGMTATGACATCATCATCCCGAGACAATAGCAACCGCTAGCGCTCCAATCTAGCCTAAAGTTCCCTACAAGACATCAAACTTGCAGTTATGTCTGGTGTCTGAGTTGCACTTCAAACTGCTGGACCACAGGTACCACCCTTATTGTTTTTATGAACACATTTTGAATTTAGATTTTAAATATTATCTTCAGCAGCGCCAGCAGTGGCTAGCGGCGGCCATTGTTGATGTTTGTCGCAGGAGGACGACTTCATGTTGTTTGTCCGACGCTAACTTCTGCTAACACTTAACAC